CATTCGGGGAAAAATAAATATAACTTGCTCTGTGGTTCTGGATTCCCGGATATTTTGCTACTTGATTTTTTAAAGGCAGCGTATATTTTGCTAGCCTCGTTGTTTAAGCCTCGCTAAACTCACGCAATAATAAATTCCCAAGTCGAAGGAGAAACAATTCTACAAGATTTTTCTGCGGGGAAGACTTTTGAACGTGGAACTCACGTCAAAATTTGGTAAAAGGGGCATAATTAAGTGGATTTGAGGGACAACTGTTCATACTTAATTAGTGATTTTGTCCGTATCAGTAAAAAATTGTGTTTAATAATGAGAATATTGTGTATAATTAATTTCAAAGATTTTAAATTTTTAGCTGATTATTAACGCCGTTAAAAAGTATTTTACTTTGGAATTATACCTATTAGGAAACCAGATTGAGTTCACCCTGGCTCTATTTTATGCCAAAAGCTGGAACAATTCAATTATAAGGGACAACTGTTTTTAAGTAATTATTTATTTTGTACGATCATTAAAAAATTGTGTAAAAACGAGTGAATTATGTATAATCGAGTGAATTATGTATAATAGATTTAAAATACTTCAAAGTTTTTGGTTATTGACGCCGTTAAAAGTATTTTGTCTATTTAATGAAATCATTTATATATAAGATAGGGGTGAATTCTCGGTCAATGCATATTTCGTTGCCAAAACGTATAACTGTGAAAAATTGAATTGTTCAATTTTTTTGAATTCTTCTTTTGAGAATCGAGGCATTAGGTTCCAAGGTTCATTGAAAGTGGGGGTGTGGTCAAAGGTCAATAATTGTTTTATCACGTTGACCCATCAAGTGTAGTGTCATTATAAAGCTCTCATCAATATAATCCAGAATAATACTGGAATAATATGAACATACCAAAGTTGAGGGGGTGTGTCAAAAATTTGATACTGTGCACGCTATATAAACACAGATTTGCAAATTAACAAATCAAAAAACTAAACAAAAAAAGTGCGTGCAATCTAATTTTAAATCTCAAAATTTGTCCAACATGTGTAAAACAGACATTTTGCAAATGACGACCATTTACTGAACCAAGCCAACCTTTTGCCAATCACGGATCACTTAATCCGAATAATACTCTTCCTCTGAAGTTTAAATCATGGGTACAAATTCCTGGAGAGTAGAATTCAGTGGAACCACCATTGGCATCGCTGGAAGGAAGAAATAGGTTGCCTCATTTGCTTAAATTAGTGATTTAACCATCCTCCGACACGCACAATTAATTTGGAGGCAGAAACAATTTGTAATATTTTTTGGAACAAAAAGTTCTACTGTCAAAATTTTAAAAAATTACGGATTGATATCAAATGAAAAGTCTAATAAGAAATAACGCCGTCGGTTTTCGAGATGAATCGTAAACTTACAAGTTGTTCGACACGGGAAGGAAGGTGTAAAAAATGGACGGATTTTGAGATAAAAAGAAGATAAATAATGTTACACGTCGACAATTCTGGGAGTGAGAAGGGTAGGATTTTAATGCTTTAAAGTCTTCGTTAATATGCACACGGTTTTCAGGAGGGGAATATTTACATGGTTGAATTTGAGCTTCTGGGGGAAAAAAGTCGACATATTTTAGTCTTGGACGGAGACACGCATTCATCAGCGGACCGAATAACCTCGCAATAAATCGAATCCGCATCTCTCAAATTTATCTCCGTCGTAGGAACAACAAGAAAAAAAATGGTACAACATTTCCCACAAAAAGCAGACCTGAGTTGGAAATGGAAAGGTGAGTCGTTTGACCTTTGACTAGGATTCAGTCAGTTCCTCCAAGGAATATGTAAATTTGGGTTTAAGTGTTGAAAAAATTGGTGGCATAATTTAAAAAAATATGTTGTGCACAAGAATTTAAGTTGAGTAAATTATCAAGAGGAAGGAAACATACTTTTTTTATAAATTGATGACATTCATCGAATTTGAGTTTAGTTCACGACGTTAAGGAAAGTTAATAATGTTTTCGAAAATTATCTATACCAGATGTAATCGCTATTGGGATCCTCATTTTATAGGAATTGGTCGAGGTTTTAGCTAACTCGAAATTTTATATGAGCAATTCAAAAATTTTGGGGAGTAATTAATTAATTTATTTACACGGTAGTTAAATATTTTAAACTGCATGTACAAATTAGCGCAACTGATTTATACATTTAGAATCTCATAACTTTTTATTTTCCCAAATTTCTAATATTCTGGCAACTGGTAGATAAATCTTACACAAATTCTGTAGGTTATTAAATCTTAATAATTCAGTGATTTCAGTGTTTTCAAATTGTATTTGAATAATGTAAATAATGAAAATGATTTTGGACACAGTAGTACTGAAAAATGAGGAATTTTGATTACAGAGGGTGTTTACAGATTTTGTGGAAAGATGATTTCATGGGTAAACTGCGAACCTATTTACCGCTTTGGCGCCAAATTTCGAACATGCAATCCCCAAGGTCACGGTCACATATGTACCAAATTTCAAATTTCTATCTTCAAAAATGAGCTCAAAAAGTGACCTCAAAGTAGAGGAATTGGTGAAAGGGATTTCCAAACAGCAGACATTTTTTTATCTCTGCCATTGAAAAGGCTTAGTTCTAGGCATCCAAGCCTCACAAAATTCATCGGACTGGTGTCAGGTTACTTAAGATGTACCCCTGAAAAAGATGTCGAGGTCATTCCGGGGTTTTCCTTTAAATCTTGACCGTCCGGTTGGATAATTTCGGCCGTATATGAAAATGTCGCGTCGTGATGGATGCAAACTTTGTCAGGCTCTTCAAAATGCTTCTTTGCAATTTTGACCTCGAACAACTTATGTAAAACATTGTCCATAAAGTACTTCGAGTTTATTTTTGAATTAGACCCAACAGGTACCAACGTTAGCACTCCACGGTCCATCGTTGCATCTACCACCAGGAATCAGTCAGACAACTTTTCCTTCTTTTCAGACCCGTGCTTTGAAATCTGCTTTCGGTCGGTTTTGCAGCAAATTATTTTTGTCCCGTTGAAGTTTTGAAGGCAGCAGTGTCCCGTCCAATGTGACGACAAATTCGGAATTTTTATTCCCAACATGACCTTCAAACAGCCTCCGGCTGTTAGTTTTTTTGTTTACCATATGGGTAAATTTAAGTGCGCGGACTATCGCCTTCCTCTGCAAGGCTTTTTTAAAATTGTGCTATAAAATACGATTAACGTGTCCAGGAGACACCTGGGATTGCATTGTGACCTGTCTTTTGGTTGCAGGATTCTGATTGCCATCGTGGGGATCAATGTTCTTGAGGGTGGCAGAATTCATCGTTTTGAGGGGTATGCATTTCGTGGTATACGTTGGTCGGATGAAACTAATTACCGTCGTTTTATTACAAAATTAATACAGTTATATGTGGGGGACACGATAAGATGGGTTCCAGATTTTTGGATTATCGTTTGGGCACTTTTCGCCGCCAAATTAGCTTCGGAAACCGCTTTTACGGTTCGTCCACTTTGGGCTAACTTTTAGGCGCCATCTTTGAAGATATGAATTCGAAACTTTGGGCAGATGTGGTTGTGACCTTCGAGATCGTGTGTGCCAAATTTGGCGCAAATTGGATCATGCGTTCACAAGTAATCCATGTAATTGTCTTTCCACAAAATCTGTAAACATCCTGTAAATACGATTTTTCTGAATTAGTCTGATTAAGCTTAATTTTTGATATGAAAGTTTCACAAAAGAGGAAAGTTGATTATAGTAAATGGTCGATAAATTTGGCCTACAAAATTCTGATAATTTTAATAAAATAACGAGGAAATTCGAAGTTTTATGAACGTCAACAAAAATAATTTTGGAGACTATGAATATTTTTTCGCCGAACACTTTGAGGTGATTAAAAAATTCGTCTTGGTATTGAAAATCATATAACATCCAGGATTCGCGGATTCACGAGGCAAATAATCGTACTGCAAATTTAAATTTGCAAATGATTAATTACTCCAACATCGCGCGGTATCAGAAATTAATTTCTCCTCTTCAAGTATCAAATCTATCTAATAAAATTCATAGAAAGTATTGTATTCTTTCGATTATAAATTTTTACGGTGTTATGGTCGCACACTCGATCCCATTTTTGTCACCATATTATTTACAGTTCACCCACCTACATAAAAAATGTGACACTCTCCAAGCACAACCCGTTCCAGTAAAATTCACGAAAGGACATGTTCACTATAAAATGATGCCAATTTGCATCTGATGCGAAAGCTACGTGACACTTTAGTCATCTCTCGAACGTGTAACGAGTTTGTCATTTTGTTGCAGGGACAATTTTGCTCCGAAAATATTCGCCCTTTTATTTTAGCGAGGAATGAAGAAGTAGTTTGGATTGGATACGTGAAGTAAAGGGCAAACCGCAAAAACCGCATGTGTACTTTGGCTTTTTGTGCTAAAATGTTGTTTTGCATTTACATACTCTGCCTGCCTAAAATGCCGCCAGGTTTGGGATCGTGAATTTGAGTCTGATCGAGAAAATCCGTCATAAGACGTCATTTACATAATATCCGAAATCAAAATAAAGTTGGAGGTTTATCTGGAGTGAGGTGAAAAGTAAGTAGGGTTAAAAAACCCATGCGTCAAAATCCAAAATTTGATTATGCACACTCTGAAATGCAATTTTATGTAGGATTTTATGTTGGTACTTGTAAATAGTACCAAACTGGTGACAAAAATATCCATAATTCAGTACTAAAATTTTGCTAAATTTGTAAACCGTTATATTCTTACCAAAAAATATTACCATCCCGGTAATAAATTCAGTCTGTAACAAAAATTTATTGTAAACTTTCTCTGACTTCATCTGTCGCATTGTAACTCCTTTTATGGCCACCACGCAAGAAGAACTACCACGTTTCATTTTTTATAAACTGAATCCGTCATTCCATTCCAATCTACAAATTGCATCTTGATGTTTATTTATAGAAACAATGATGCTCATACTAGACGTACCTTTGTGTCCGCCTCGTCAATTCGTCATGGTCATCCGTCTCGTCAGTACTGACAACGGGTCGGCAAGAAGTCTGCAAGTAAAATAAATCAATTCATCAAAACCTTGTGACAATATGTCGCATTGTTTTCGCTTTATAAAGATGTTATTCATCAAGTCAATTAAGACGGTGATTTGAAATTATTCGCGTCACGTGACAGTTTTTTGTCAGGATGGAATTAAGGAGTTGTAAATATCGGAATGAACTTGACCCCTGGTGGATTGGGGTTCAGATGCATTTAGATAATATTTACACGTCGGAGAAGGATATAAAATACCAGATTTTTGCATTTTATTTGATAACATTAAACATACAGACGTATTTATTTGCGTAAAAATATTTCTGGAAGTATCGTGGCCAACCTGTTCGTGCACTAGATTTGCAGAAATTTCTGTATTTGTAAAATAGGCACTGAGGTCTGTGATTTTATTGGCCTTTTTGCACTTCTTCGCATAATAGAACAGTACTAAAATTCCCGATTGGTTACGCTAAGTGAGAATTACATTCACCCATGACACCAAATCGAAAGATTAAAAACTGCTCAATTAGTTACACTTAAACCCCCACAAAAAAATCAAATTTTGTCTAAATTTTGATAAATATTGTCCTTTCTTTCGTTCCAGGATTTCAAATATCCTGAGCTTAATTATCCCAATATTTTACACTTTTCAGAAAACCTCTTAGAAAGGCATGTTTTTCTAGAAATTTTAATTTCGAACCGAAATAAGGATCGGAGTTGAACATGATACTGAAAAAAACTATATCCTACAAGTAGAAAGGTATGAAATCTCAGCTTTTTTTGCATTTAACATTGTCTTAAACGTTGAAGCTAACCTTTAAACATTGCTTTGTCTTGCAGAAAATTCTATAGTTTCAACAACGGCGTTAGAAGTTGTAAATATGCATCAAATATTGAGTCTGAAAGCTTTTTTGTTTTTTTGCACACTTGGATAATAGTAAAATTCTCAAATTTTTGAGCAGCTCAATGCAACAATTCATCAATATTTTCACTTTCCTGAATACTTACTGAGAGTGGACTTGTTTTTCAAGAAATCAAAACTAAGAACACAAATTTAGGTTGATAAACTGTGAAAAGTGTACTTTCAAGAATCAAGTTGTAGCGAAAACGTTCTCATCATTTCAAAATATTGCCAAGCACAATTCTACAAATATCTCACCAACTCGTTGCAGTTATTAGTAAAGAATTATCAATTGAATAGAATAGTATTTACTTTTAAATTTTATTCCAAATTTTATGTAGGTTTACTCAATTATAAAAAAGTGCAACGTAAATTAAATTTGGATAAGTATAACGCCAGAGAAAAAATTGGATTGCATATGAAATTGTAAAAGCATTTCTCAGATCCTTCCTGTCCTGCCAGTATGTTACAAATTTCCAAAATTGTCTTGAAAAACTTTTTACAAAATTTTGGATGAATCGGTTTGATTTTACACAAAATTTGGAAAAATTCATCAGATTATGTAACATTTGCGAAGTAACTACAACATTGCACTTGATATGCCTCACAGAACTAGAAACTTTGCGAGGGTGCAAAAAAACGGTAATATTACGACACCGTCAAGTCAATGCCAATGTCAAAATTTTTCTCGTTTTTTTCCACGACGACGACACTCCACTCCACTTGAGACGAGTCATTTCGATTTCGGTTTTTGCCAGCCTCCTGCAATTTCCGAAACCATTCACAAGACAGAAATAACCCGAACTTGGCTTGGAGGTCGGCTAGCTTGGAAAAAATGGCTGGAGAAATGACGGCGCGGTGTTATTCGGTATGTAGACTTGGAAAATATTGCGTAAAAATTGGCGTAACTTGGGATAAAAAACTATAACGAATTGAAGAATAATTTTGATAAAGATGTAAAATTTGGGGAAAATTTTGAAGCTTATCTGCCAGGATAGGCTTCAAAAATTAAAATGGAAGAGTTTCTTGTCTAGAGAATTTATGCCAAGATTTCTGAAAATATTTATTCGGTTTGGAGATGCTGGAATCTAATTTATATAATTAATAGTTGTATGAAAATTTTAATCTCGAGTAACGACGTGGAAATGTCACATATTCTAAATTGTTTTATTCCCTGAGTAAATTTCAGTCAAGTTTACAACATATTTTGATTGATATTGCGAATTTTGAGATCTTGATATTCTGATTCAAGCAGGTTATCAGGTAATAAGAAGACTAGGCATCTAGTTTTATACAATAAATATTATATGAAACATTTTGCTCGCGACTAGTGACGTGCAAATGTCACATGTTGTAAATTGCTTTATTTCCTGGCCATGTTTAGTTCAAGTTTACGACATATTTTTAATTCGAAGTTCTAATCAGTGTCCGATTAGAATTTTGTGTAAAGTGATGGAGACGCTTGAAAATAAATAAATTCAATAATTATTTGGATTACACAAATTTACAACATCGGAGCGGATTACAGGATTATTTTTGAAAATAACACACTTTACAAAATAAATTTGACATGACCCGCAATTTTCTGGAAGCAAAGGATTTTGCGAAATATTTCATTTTGCAAAATTTTCGCAACATTCTCCATTTTGCAACGTTGTCTAATTCCTACCGTGTGAAGCAAAATAATTAACACTGGCTTCATTTATGTAGTTCCGCACTTTCTTGAAGGTATTTTTTTATAGATGTTGTGCTGGGCATGAAGTATGTGGAAAATTCATGTATGATTAATTTGTTAATTAATTTCGCGGTTTTGCTAAACCAAAATAAAGTTTGATGCACTTGTTTGGTCCACTTTTAGAGAACGGCGTTAATATTCATATCTCTTAAGATAAACAACTCCGTTACCAAGCAGATAGAAAATCATTACCAAAACTGGTAAAAACTATCATCCCACCAGTAACAAATTATTATCATAGTGGTAAAAAATATTACCAAACAGAGTCTTACACACTCATTCTCACCAAATTATTTAGGGTGCCGTACCCACACATGAGAAATTTTCTGCTCTACATTCACAGAAAATATCGATCCGCCTTCATCTCATTTGTTTGGATTAGTTTAGTCCACTTTGGACGACGGGATGGATCAGCTATCAGCCGAACGATCTAACCAGACAGTCACCGAGATGGCTTTGTCCCATTCATCCCCAACAATGCAACTTGTTCCGCATACTTCCTCTTCTCAGTCGGGATGCATACATAAATATTCACGAAAAATTAGAAAAATTCCGAATAAAAGTTACATTTCTCAACTTTTTTTCTCTGCTACTTCGGCAAACAGAACTATTGACAGGGTTGGATAAGTAAAATATAATATAAATTTTAAAAACAAATTGTTTTTAAAAAATTTGAATAAGTTGAATTCCGAATGTGTTAGTTTGATAATTTAAACAAATTGGTTGACTTGTTCGAATTTTCAATAATTGCAATTGAAGTACTGGATTTTGGATTGTATGTATGTTTGAATTCATTTACTTATCTTTTTCTGTGTTTATCGTATATTTTTCAATTTAGGAAAATTTCGAAAGTTTGGAAAATTTGGAAAATTTAGGACAATTTATACCTTATAATTTTAATCGTGTTTAAACACCTTCGATAAAAATCTACGAACTACTGGATCGAACTAAAAGGTGCGTTCGAATCTCCACTTTACACAGTATTTCAAAGGTGATAACAAAAAAAGCATCATATTTATGATTGATCAAACGAGTATTACGCGACAATCGAAAGAAATTAAAACCACCAGTCTATTTCGGACTTCATAACAAAAAAAACTATAAATCCATCATACCGATCTGCGCTCGATAATTATGTTAAATTCGAAATTATTTAAAGCTTTTGTTATGTATAAACGTGCTAAAAACAGATTACATCCCGTCTGCTAGTTCCCCCTCTTCCTAAAATAAAACTGGAATGGATGAAAAGATGGATAGGGAGAGAAAGTGGAGGAAAAATCAGACAAAGTTTTGCGTATTGTTCCCAACCAAGATCGGAAAACTTGGTTGGTTATGAAGGAAAAAAAGTTGTCTTACGAAATCCCAAGGAAGGAAACTTTTCAAACAAAGAAAGCCAAAAGCTATGGAGGAGAGAGAGAGAGATCAAGAGTTGAAGAATTATGACTGCGCCAAGATTGCCCGACCAGAAATTACGGAATAGACGAAAATTCCGATGGTACATATAAAAATTTATGATCCACAAATTTCAAATTTATCCACATCGTATCACAATTGAATTCTTGAAGTGATGTGGGGTAGTAATGTTGTTTTTTAATAAAATCAAACTTGGTAGGGAAAATGGTAGGAAATGTTTAGTGGTAATTTTTGATAGTTAAGAGAATGTAAATGACCGTTGGGTTTGTTAAACAAGAAGGCAATTATTACGTTAAAAGAGATAACTGATTTTTATTTATTTTACAAATGCAAAATAAATACAAATTTTGCGATATTTTTTTACTGGTAGTTCAATGATGATGGTTTTTATGTACGAAATGATACGTAAACGTATTGGACGTTTTTAAGTAAGACCTGGGGCAGTTCCAAACAATTTATCTGGAAAATTTAAAATTAGAACCTAAATTTATTTATTTATTTCTTGATGTTAAAGTGTCACAAATTTCAATTTCGAAAATTTTTCAATAGATATTTTACAAATCTGGTCATAATATTAGCACATTTTTACTTGTACGGGAATACAAATTTAGGTATTCTGCATTCTCGAACCCAACAATGTTTCCTGCGAAATCTTAACATGACATATGTTGTCTTTAATACTGTATAAAATTTATTGTAAATTGAGCAATAATTTTTTTGCACTTTTGACTGATATTTTATCAACTTCTGTAATAATTCAAGTACTCGAGAGGTTGCATAGGATTCTTTATCAAGGAAGAAATCACCATTTCCAACGTCTTTATCTTTTTGCCAACTTTTTGCAAAGTTTGCAAAAAGTGGGTATCATGTGTTTTTGACTAGACCATTATTTATGAGAGACGGAGGAAAAAATAGATTCTAATTGGAATATATAACCATCAATGTAGTGTTTTACTTATTTTGAT